CTCTACCAAGGGTGATAAAGTGAGACTCTGTCTCTAAAAAAAAAAAAAAAAAAAAGCATGAAACTATAAGTTTATATGAATTCTAATTTTTCTTTTATATTTGAAATTGAAATTTTCTAGCATTTATCAAAGGTTATAGTGGTAGTTATTAGTGAGTCCACTTCTAGAAAAGATTCTCTATCTAAATTCTAACACATACATGTGTTCTTCTAATAAAGCTAACAATACTTTGATCAAAAAATGAGATTTTTTGCACTAGAATGTTTATTGCAGCTCAATTATGATTGCCAAATTGTGGACATAACCTGAATATGCACCAACCCAGGAATTGATTAACAAATGTGGTATATGTATACAATGGAATACTATTCAGCCACTAAAAAATGGAGACTTTACATCTTTTGTATTAACCTGATGGAGGCAGAAAGCATTCTTCTTAGTAAAGCATCACAAGAATGGAGAAGCAAGAATCCGATGTACTCAATTCTGATATGAGGATAATTGATGACAATACATGGTGAGGGATGAGGGATTGGAGGAGTGGAGAGAGAGAAGAAGGGAGGGCGATGGGGGGGTCATGGTATGTGACACACCTCCTGGGGGCAGGACACAATTATAAGAAGGACTTTACCTAACAAGTGCAGGCATTGTAACCTGGTTCCTTGTACCCTCGAGGATTCCCCCAGAATAAAAAATGAAATAAAGTAACAATTTAAAAAAAAAAAAGTGAGATTTATCTTCTCTTGCCTTAATTTTGGAAAGAAGCTTAATATGCTAACATATTTGGTACTTGCTAGTGTATTAAGTACACAGTTACTATTTTTAATATGTATCTCTTAACCTGTGACCTTGATGTATTCCTTTACTGTGTCTATAACTTTCTTTCTGGATTCTTCAGAATTATCTTTCTATAGAATCATGTCATCTTCAAGCAAAAATAATTTTATTTCTTTATTTACAATTATATCCTTTAAAAATCATTGTGGCCTGTTGCACTGGATAAACTCTCAAGTACAATGTTGAATATGTATGTAAGTGTAAAGAACAGACATGCCTGCCCTGTGTCCAGTGTTGCAGAGAAAATATTTAGTTTTCCTGAGTATGGTGGCTCATGCCTATAACCGTAGCACTCTGAGAGGCCAAGTTGGGGAGATTGCTTGAGCTCAGGGGTTTGAAACCAGCCTGAGCAAGAGCAAGACACTGTCTCTTAAAAAAAGAAAAAAATAGTGAGACATTGTGGTGGACATCTGTAGTCCCAGCTACTATGGAGGTTGAGACAAGAGGATTGCTTGAGCCTTAAAGTTTGAGGTTGCTGTGAGCTATGACGGCCACAGTGATGTACTTTGGAGTCAAAAAATATGAAGAAAACTCCAAAGAAAATGAAATACTTGAGTATAAAACTATTAAAGCAATGCATGTATAAGATATGCATCCTAAAAATTATAAAATGATGATGAAAAGAATATTAAAGAAAGCAAATAAAGAAATTAATAGTAGAAACTCTGCAAGTTGACCACCCCAGGGACTGGAACAGATCAACATAATGGAGCTGGTCAGCATAAAGAACTAGAGCTAATGTACTTATAAGTACATATGGTGCATATCAGGTGTATAAAAAAATAGGTCAATGAATAGAAAATAGTTTAAGTAAGAAGCATTTCTGTATATATTAAGGCACAACTTTTGAAGATGAATATTGTATAATCATAGTATTAAATTTAATTTTGTACTTTTCCTGCTTAGACCACTATGTGATAAATTATGCCTTAAAACAGTATTTATATGTTTAAAATGTTAAAAAAAATGAAGAAAATAAAAAAGGAAAAGTAATTATTTGTCCTTTCACTATGATGTTAGCTCTCAGTTTCTTATAGATATACTTATTAGGTTCAAGAAATAACTTTTATTCATTTTTTTTTGAGAGTTTTTATCACAAATTGTGATAGGAGTTTGTCAAAAGCTAACCCTTAGTCTATTGAGATAAACATGATTTTTTTGTTTGTTCTTCTATTAATTTGGTGATTTTTGGGGGGGATGTTAAACCAACCCTGCATCCATAGCAAAAATACCATTTGGTCATTGTGTATGACATCTTGTATCTTGATGCTGATTTTGATTTGCTAATATATTGTTAAAGAATTTTTGTACTCATGTTTAGGGCAGATGATAGTCTATGCTTTTGTTTTCCTGAACTATTATTAATTGGCTGTGGTATCAAGAGGCATGCTATGAGGCTGTAAGTGCTTCCTCCTTTATTTTCTAAAAAAGTTCATTAAAAAACAATATTGCTTTTTAAATATTTAATAGAATTCTCTGGTGAAACCACCTGGATTTGAGTATCTCTTTTTGAGAATATTTTTCATTAAAAACTTCATTGTCTTAATTGTTTTAAGCATGTTAAGATTTCTATTTATTCTTTACTCAGTGTGGGTAATTTGTATTTTTATAGGAATTTGTCCATTTCATCTATGTTGGCTAATTTTTTTTTTTTTTTTAGTGGAAAGCATTTAAAAATATTTCTTTATAATTTTTAAATTTAATTTATAATAAGGAGTAACGTTTCCTCTTTCATTCTTTATTCTGATTTTCTACTATTTTCTTGTTTCCTCCTCATTTAAGATATTCTTTAAAATATTAATTAGGTAGTTCTAACCCAAATTGCCTCTGAAAACTATGGGATCTGAGGAGAACAAAAGCATTTTGAAGGCATGAAGGACAAACAGAATTATTTCTATTATATATGAGCCTCAAATTACTAACCAACTTGTTATCAAATATAAGTCATGTGGAACAATAATAATTGGAATTTAAGTAGTTGACTGTTAGGAACTTAACAATTAATTGTGTAGGATTTTGATCATTTAATATTTATTAAGTCCATAATTGAATTTGCTTTATAAGAAGTCATTGGTAACTAACATGATATGGTGTTATTACTAAATAATTTTATAATAACACTTATGCTAAATCAAGTTTGAATGCATTTCATCATTGTCGTCTCAGATAAACAATAGATAAGTCAGAAAGGAAATAGGTCATCATTTTTTCAATAAAATTCAGTAAATAATGTATAAAATGAAAGAATGCTACATTCTTATATACTTATAAATAATATTCACTTGTAATGGGGGTGGGACACAATTATAACAGGGTCTTTACCTAACAAATTCAATCCTTGTAACCTGGTTCTTTGTACCCTCAATGAATCTCCAACAATAAAAAAATAAAAGATTTACTTGTTAAAATTACAATGCATATCTGAGTAGTTCTCAAATTGAGATGTTACGGTTTCTCTGTTACTTAAAAATATAAAGTCATTCTAATCTATAATGATTTGGATTTATTTTTTAATGAGTTTTAAGTCAGGAAGGTATTTCGGACATGTTAGAATTAGTCATGTGATAAGACTTTGTATACATTCATCAAAGCATTCCAAGAAGCTATAAAAATTTGAATATTCAGTGACATAGCAGATGAATTTAACTTGTAAATCTATCAATAGAGAAAGTATAATGGAATAATACTTTAGACAAATAAATAATGGAATAATGCCTTTGTATTTTCATAATCCTGGATTTACACCTTAACTACACATTCTTCTAGTTTTGTGGCTCTGGGAAAGATGCTTGAACAATTGTAGAATTTATCTATCTGTAACACTTTTTAAGATAAAATTTTATATTGAATAAGTTAAATTAAAGCTTGAAAAAATTATGCCTTAATAATTTATTTGTTTATTATTTATAGAGTCTTCAACAAAAGACAGAAATATGGATGATAATGAGTAGGCTGGGGCCAAAATTTGTGATAGGATTTTGGCTGCGATGCCTTCTTCAAACCAACATTGTTTTTGATACCATAGAAAAAAGTTATTATTTAACAAACACTTGTTTACTCATTCCTTTGTTATCAAATGCAAATAATTTTAAGGTTATACCCTAGCTTACCACAGTCCATCTCTTAGCTCTACTTTTTAAAATCTATTTTTCTAAATTTCATTTATAAAAAACCCTTTCTCCTTCATTCTCCATGTTTTTTCATTGTCAGGAGGAAGGTTCTAGGAAGGATCATTTTGAGAGAATCATTTAAATATGCAGATTATTCAACCAATAAAATTTTCATTATAGGAGCACAGAAAAGAAAACTACATTTGTTTAATTGATGACTGATGAAGACTGGTTCTACAAAATAAATCAGACATGGTGACTAAGGCATTTTGCTAGAAGGGCTGTACACTCATTGTAAAGTATTGATTTAATAATTGGCCTTGCTTTGATTGTGAACTTCAGGGATTAACTTGGGCAAAATATACTTCTAGATCTCTGACAGCCAATATTAATATCTCACTTGTTTGTCCTTTTATTAAATAATAGTTAGAACTTCAGAATTTTCCATAATAGGAAGTGTTCTATATAAAAATGATTTTTTAAAATATTTAAATATTGGTTCTTGTAGAAGCAATGACTGATGAGATTTTGTAATTATCTTTGTGTTCTAAATGTTTTCAACAGGTAATCCTTTATTAACCAGCAAAGTCAATATATTAATTAATGTCCTAGATGTCAATGAATTTCCTCCAGAAATATCTGTGCCATATGAAACAACTGTGTGTGAAAATGCCAAGCCAGGACAGGTAACCATAACCATATTATTTATCAAAAGTGTATAAACATGCACTATATATCATATGTGGGTTTTAAGTTATAAGTTATGTTTTTCAATGCTCATGCTTTTACTGCTTAGTAGAACCTTCGTCTCATAGCTCTAAACCACTGATGTCTACTAGCTATTAAATTAAAATAAACATTAAATAAAATTTAATAAAAAATCTCATTCACATTAGCCACATTCCAAGTGGCCAAAAACCATAGGTGACGAGCAGATACCATTTTGCTAAGTACAGCTGTAGAATATTTTCATAAGCGTGGAAACATCTTGTCAACTGTGCTGCTGTAATCTTTCATTTGACAATTTGGGAAATCAACAATATTCTTACATCATAAAATATTGAGTGATGTTTTCTGAAGTGAGAAATATGCATCCTTAATTTTTTTGTAGAACAATCATTTATTTTTTTTATTACACATAACATTTATGGAATTGACTCAGCTCACGAAGATGGTTCTCACTGAGGGTCTCTATCTAATGTGACTGTAGTCAAGTGATTGATGGCTGGAGGTAGAGTCATCTCAATGTCTTCTTCACTGAATGTGGAGTTGATTGTAGCTAAAAGTTGGAATCTCATTTGAGACTGCTAGTTAGAATACCTCACAAAGCCTCTCTGTGGCTAGGCTTCCTAATAGCATGGCAGCTAGATCCCGAGCGCAACCATTCCTGAAAAACAAACAAAGAACAAAAACAACAAACAGATGGATGCTGTGTCTCTTTTGATGACTTAGTCTCATAAGTCATAAAGTATAACTTCCATCATCTCCTATTCACTAAAAACAAGTTAATAAGACCAGGCCAAATACCAAGTAAGAGGAATTCGATTTGGATATATTTTAAAACCACCACAACTAAGGAAGTATCAAGATATTACCAAAATTGGCAACAACTTTGCATCCTTAATTTTAATATGGACAGGAATGCACTCAAATGTTATCATCTCAAATTCACCCACAATTTACACAGGATGAACCACCACTGCCTTCAATTTTGAAAACTGTATGATACATAAATACCTGAGCTCAGATAAGTAGCCTGATCTGGTAATTTGGGAAGCAAAAGGAGATTTGCCAAAATTTCAAGAGTTAAATATTTTCTACTTTCCAAATGTCCTATGTCAATGTTTATAATACAATTCTATTTATCTTTTATTTTATTTGAGACATTAATGGCTTCACATTAATCAGAATCTTAGCATGTTCCAAACGAAAACCTTTAGAATCAGAGTTCCCTTTAGTGCTGTTTATCATTTAGATAATAATAATTCTGTATATTATTAAAATTTCTAACATCTAATAAAAGATCTAATCAATGAAAGAATCCGAACAGTTGAAAATAGGAAGTACTTAAAATCAAACTGATTTTCTTATGTCTATACAAAGTTGTGAAAAGTCTGTTGGGTCCTTTGAGGCTTTTATTTAAAACAGTATCTGTTGAATTCCTTTGGGCACAAAGCATAATCTAAAAGGTCCTTTAAGTTTGTAGGGATTGTGATAGATGAGCATTTTCTGCTTTTGACCTCAGCCATTCTGTCCCTGACATTAAATATTATGCATTGAAACTGTCTCTTCTGAATTATGCCCAAATTATCTATCGACCTACCTACCTTCCTATTTACTATTTATCATCTATCTTAAAAATAAAGAGAAGAGGAAGAAGATCATACTATGTAAATCAGTGAAGATTCCTTGGAGCAGTGACTGCCAACTGACACTGCCAGATATGTGTTAGTCTATAACAGTTTAACAAAGTTACATGTAGCTGTTCTAAAGGAGCTTAGTCTAAGGTCATCTTTTTGATATGTTTTGATGTTAAATGCCTTTAATTTAAAAATGGTATTCATTTACAGTAGTTAGAATCAAAACAAAACAAATTTCAACAACTAAATATTGTTACCTAAATAATATACAGAAATCTTATGGAGGAAATAGAATGACTACGGACATATGGTCTACGTGAAGGAAAGCTGAAGAGTGTAGGTGGTAATTCTTTAACTAAATTACCACCTTCCACAATCTAGCATTCATTGTTGAATAACAAAAGGTCTCACCCATGACAATGTTAAAGGATTAATAGATCCTGGGCGATTAATTCACCTTAAAAGTCCAATTATTTGTTAAATTATGAATTACCAGTATAGTGTGTCAGATATTCAGAGTCCCAGTGATATCTGCCTATCCATCTAACTATGTGTGTGTGTGCACTTACATGAGAAAGGAGATCATAGTCACAAGATATTTAACTGAATTGGATTTTAATATCATTAATGTTAGATCACGTGATACAACTTTACACAGTGGGATCAAGATACAGTATTTGAAATCTAAAGATTTTTCCGGCTCGGCGCCTGTAGCTCAACCGGCTAAGGTGCCAGCCACGTACACCTAAGGTGGTGGGTTTGAATACAGCCAGGACCTGCCAAACAACAATGACGGCTGCAACCAAAAAATAGCCAGGCGTTGTGGCAGGTGCCTGTGGTCCCAGCTACTTGGGAGGCTGAGGCAGGAGACTCCCTTGAGCCCAGGAGTTGGAGGTTGCTGTGAGCTGTAATGCCACAGCACTCTACCCAGGGGGACAGCTTGAGGCTCTGTCTCAAAAAAAAAAAAAAAGATTTTTCCTCTAGCAAATTCAAATTTAATTTAAAAGTATGATGACCCAGCCAGGACACTGCCCTATCCTCTCTCACACACGCTTCCTGAAATACTATCTAATGCTCATCATTACATATGTTAATAAATAAATGTCTCTTTCTCATAAATTAAAAATTTTGGTTTGGGACGGCGCCTGTGGCTCAAAAGGGTAGAGCGCCAGCCCCATATGCTGGAGGTGGCAGGTTCAAACCCAGCCCTGGCCAAAAAAAAAAAAAGAAATTTTTTTTTGTTTGTTTAAAACTCACAAGTTATTTTTATTTCAAAATTTTAAGGGCATCTTATTGAAGCATCAGGTTTTCAGCTATAAAATATGCAACCTATGGGAGCAAGTTAGAAAACATTTTGAAACAAGGATAATAGTGCTTATTTTTTAAAAACCCTGTAAAACAAAATTTGTGTTCCTACACAATGGGGTAAAAAACACAGAGGCAAAAATAGAAATCAATCTCTTTTTCTCATTATTTTACTTATTTATGAAAATAAAACCCATTGTTACAAAACATAACAGCACTAAAATTTTGCTAGTGCAAGGGCTTTTACATAATCAGACATTTTGTCTCTAGTAAGCACTCTCATATTTCCGCTAGAAAGCATTTATTTCATCTAATTTAAAATGCAAGCAAGTACGTTTTAATTTTATTTTGCTTATAAGCGAGAATTCTCAATGTTGGTATGCTTTTCGGTTATACAGATATTGATTTGGAATTAGCCCAGGTCCTGTAATTGTATCTGTCATTATTGCCTGTAAATATTAGAGATTTGTTTATAAATACTGTGTGTAAATAATGGGTCCAGTGATATTGATTCAAAAAATGTCATTCCTGTTTACTTGCATGCTTCATTAAATAAACTTATCAGCCTGTGTGTAAAGTTCCTTTGAAACTAATGACTGAATCTCAACTTTGTTTCAGATAATTCAGATAGTCAGTGCTGCGGACCGAGATCTTTCACCTGCTGGGCAGCAATTCTCCTTTAGATTATCACCTGAGGCCGCCATCAAACCAAATTTTACAGTTCGTGACTTTAGAAGTAAGTATGACCATGGAAAGATGTACCTCGATCATGTATCTTTATAAACAGGCACAGGGGGAGGAATCATGCTTTTCTTAGAAACAGTTACATAAAACAGGGAAATCCTTAAATGAGAAATGCAGAATTCTATAGCTACCAGAAAATGAAATACTTAATCTACATAGAGTATTTACTAAGGCAGTTTCCTTGCACTATACATGTTGACAGTCCCTCAATGAGTCAAGCAAATAAAATGTGGAAAACTGAATGTTTTCCCTGTTTTAAACACATCATTTGTCAGACAAGCATATTACTTGCACGTGCAAATAGGGAAGTCTTTCGTAACTATCTTCCTAAACAGAACAGGTTAATAATGCAAGCATTGGACATTAGAATGATACAGGTCTGAATTCCCACTGAAATAACACACTCTTAATGTATAAAATTACACTAAATAATGTCATATTCATAGTATTCATATTAAATAAAATTATGTATTCATAAGCTTTAACATAATGCATAAGTTAAATTACTGTCAAGGTAATTGTAGCTACCATTTCTGTCATATTTACACAATTACTACTAATATTAATATCATGCCTCTACTACTAATATAATACTACTGCTAGTAATATTTGATCTGCTATTATTATAAGCATTATAAAAATATAAAGAATACTAAACTAGAAATATTGAGTATCAGCCGATTTTTATGACTTTATTAGTTCTGTGAATGGGGGTATTTCATCTCCTGTAAGTTTCCACAGTCTACAGATAAGGATCAGAAGCCCTAAGTATATGGTAATTGAGTTTTAAAAAGCTGTATTTTTAATAAAATCAATACATATAAACAAGTGAAAAACCTGTGATGAAATTATAACAATGATAACGACTGAGAGAAGTTAAGGGATGTTTTGAGAAAACTTAGTTTGTTGCAAATAATTCGGGATATAAATCAGGGTCCCCACATTATGTCACTGAAGGAAGCTGCAGAGATTTTTCCAGATATAATGATTAGTGGCCATCACTTAACGATAAGTGGCCATCAATGAAAAAGCGATCCAAACTTGAGGTACTTTACAAGTAGGGTGACGACATAAATTATCATAAAAACTGGGACACATTTGAGAATGGAAGTGGGCACTGTTAATAATTCTAAATTAGAGCAACACACATAAAGAGAACAGTCTAAGATGAAGTGGACCACAGGGTCCCTTTACCTTGAAGCCATTTACAAACATAATGGCTTAAATCCAAAGGCTTTAGTAGTTTTGGAAAGATTTAAGAAAATGTATAATATACTCAGATTTGAATTTTAGGGAGATCGGCTTGGATGCATATGGAAAATACATTAAAAGAAGATTTAAAAAACCTCATTCTGATGTCCTTGCAGTAACTGGTGGGAATCTTAAATTCATGGCTGCGAGGGCTGAGGGAAGTGGATGGAGATGGAATTGATAGGATTTAAGGACAGATCACTAAGATTTGATATGTGACTATAATGGAGAAGAAGACAAATCAGATCACAGGTTTCAGCTATTAGGTAGATGGCCACATCATTCACTAAATGTTAAGTATCGACTCTTTCCATCATGGTCTCTCTGCTGAAGGATCATTAATCATGATAATGCGAATCAGTTAATCTTGCTTCCTAGCAGAGTGTTTTCTTACGGATAAGACGTATATTTGCCACAGAATTTCATATGTCATTTCTGTGCTGCCTGTTTTATCTTGTTATGTTTACACGAACAAGGTTTTCTATGTTTTTAACCTTCGTGGCTAGAAATTTAAGAGTTAAAATGAATTTTAATGTCCTTTTATTCCTCCCACAACGAACGGCACAGTCAATCTGACATGGTCAGTTCTCAGTAAGTAATAAACTGAAAATAAATATTTTATGCCTTTTGACATAAATTAAGTTCAAGTGTACCAAGTACCTATTTGCCTCCCCCAAGTGCAGACACATCAGACTTTTTACTTCTATTAGTCACTTTTTCCAAGGTTATTTATGAACGTTCTTTCTTGATTGTTCCTTTTTATAAGTCTCAAGGGTTCAACCACCAATTATGGACGTTTCAACGTTGCTTCAACGAGTCCTCATGTTTTCATTTCTAATCGTATCACATAAAGTTTTCTTATCTTGGTGTTTCTTATTTCAATGAGTGCAGAGAAGCTGTCTAAATTTCAGTTGTGGAATTTCAAGTCTACAAATAGAAAAATGAAATATGATTGAAAGAGTAACATGATTCTGACAGACCTGATTGAAATAAATAGTATACTTTTATACAATTATTTTACCTGATTCTCAGATGAGTATCATGCATGTCTATCATAATTACATAGTTTATTTCTAAAAATAGGAAAGTGTTTCCAGGAATTACTTTCACTGAGACAAAAAAAAAAAGGAGAAATATTATTATCAAATAGCAACTAATTGGTAAAGAAAAGCAAATTTCTGCTTCTTTGTATAAAAATAAAATGAGTAAAGAACAAATGTATGCAAAAGAATAGTCTTAGAGGAGGCATAGGTGCTCACCTCTATAATCCCAGGACTTTGGGACGCCAAGGTAGAAGGACTGCTTGAGGCCAGAAGTTTGAGAGCAGCTTGAGCAATATGGAAAGACCCCACTTCTTAAAAAAAATTTAAAAATTAGTCCCAGCTGCTCTGAAAGCTGAGGCAGGAGGACTGCTTGAACCAGCAGTTGGAGGTTCCAGTGAGCTGTGATGCTGGACCCATACTCCAGCCTGGGTGACAGATCAAGACTCTGTCAAGAAAAACAAAATGAAAACAGAAATTTGCATTGCTTTGGATTATTGCAAGTAAATATTATTGATTTAATCAGAATCACAATGAATTAATTTTATAATTACATTAAAGCAGTGATGGCTATAATTCGTGGTGTTCAAAATTTGTTAAAGTCTTGATGTTTTTAACATAGTTTACTTTTCTTTCCATATTTCTTACTCCAGATGTGCAACATTTAAAGTCTTTTTATTCATATAAATGTCTATATAACGTATATAAACATACATACACAATATATCAACCAAAAAATGTTTTAATCTGAAATAGTCAATGACTTTTAATCTGTTTTGAAGCATAGGTTTTTCTGTAAGATACTTTACAGTCATACTTTGCAGTCTTTGCTCTTTTTTTTTTGTATGAATACTTCCATAAAAGAATTTTTGCAATGCTATTTTGATGTCAGAAAAAAAATAATTCAATATAATACACACAGTCTTATAAATCATTCCATAATCTTTCTGAATAGAAAATTTAATTTTTACACCAGACAAGATTAATGCTTCATCTTTTCCCAATGATTATTTTGATTATGTTTTGGCAGCTTTCATGATGATAAAAGAAAGAATTAAAATAAGAATGCACTTTTCTGATTAAAGAAGAGTACCTTCTACCAGTTAGCGGATGTCAGCATTAGGATTGGAAGTGAAGCTCATAGTAACCATGTTATCATAAATGTCATGTTTTTTAGACAACACAGCTGGAATTGAAACCAGAAGAAACGGATACAGCCGCAGGCAGCAGGAGTTGTATTTGCTCCCTGTTGTAATAGAAGACAGCAGTTACCCTGTCCAGAGCAGCACAAACACCATGACTATCCGAGTTTGTAGATGTGACTCTGATGGTACCATCCTGTCTTGTAATGTGGAAGCAATTTTTCTACCTGTAGGACTCAGCACTGGGGCTTTGATTGCAATCCTACTATGCATTGTGATCCTCTTAGGTTGGTTTCAGTATTAATCATAGTCTCTCTCTCTTTCTCTGTGTTTCTCTCCTTCCCATTTATCTCTGTATCCAATTCATCACGTAAACCAGTTTCTCTTCATTAACATGTCACATCGGGACAGAAAATAATCGATCTGTCTTAAATTAATATTTGATTAAAATTATAGTTCATGCCTCCTAGATATATTTTACTGGGAATAAATGGAATGAATAACATCACCAAAAATGTAAAATATGTTCAAGACCTAGGGGATTTTAAACTAATAACAGTGTATGACCCTTGTGACAGTGAAATTCTCTGTAATAAATATCCATTTACAACAATGGCTTCCCAAATCATCTTACGCCCTATAGTAATTACAGCTGTCTAATAAGAGATAAT